CCCCAAAACCCCAAAACCCCAAAACCCCAAAACCCCATAAAATTATAAACAATTGAACCTTGGATGGGTCTAAATACCCTTTAAGACAGTTTAGCCTAATTTCAGAATTTTTTGATATTTTGTGTTGCCATTTTTCTTGTGAGACTTCTAAATTTGCCGCTGCAAAATAATTTTAGCCTTATTGTTTATAGAAAGTTCTACTTGAATCAATTAGAAATGATGTGAATAAATCGATGAAATTTTTTATGGGTATTGTTAAGATTTGACAATTAATTTTCATTAATCAGTGATGTTCAGAAATTAACACCAATTCTTTATCCTCTGGGAAATTATTTTAGTTTAATTCTCTTCGTGTTTCAAGTGAAATGACTCCAATTAAGAAGCATCAATGTATACTATCTGTCATGTGCAGTCGTCAATAAATACATCTTTAGATTTCCATCGTTCCCTTGCTATTTCCACGATGCGTTTAGATAACTCAGTAGCGCTAAGATTTTGGTTATCGATAGCATATTTAACCATTTCCTTGTTCGAAATATATTCGTAGATGCCATCACTCCCAATAACGAGGATATATTTCTGGTCTTGAAGAGGATGGATTTGGATCTCAGGAGTACAGATTACACCAACTTCCCGAACAATGTGATCTCCTACTGATCGAGTCATGGCTAGACCAGGTGCATCTTCATTTGGAAGCCATACCCTTAAAGGTTGCCGTTTAATGTTTCCTATGAAGATTAGAAAAACTTACCTTTACATCTTTCGATTCGCCCTCCTAAATCAAGGATCCTCTTTTGTTCAGCTTTAACGTCTCAAGAATGATCTTCTGTATACTTAATTTTAGGTGATGACTGCTCCTTTTCCAAGTCTTTTGTTTCTTCAGGAATCCTAATCAGAAGAGCTCTGGAATCTCCAGTGTTCGAAAAATATAGTGTTTTGTTATGAATCAGGGCAAGTCATCAAGTAGAACCGCTATTAAAAGCTCCTAAATTATAAGAAAGCATCCTTACTATGTTTATCAAGATCTTTGTCTACCTTAGTGACTGTATCGATTAGCATTTGCTCTAAAGACTCAGGCTCTGAATTCATGCTAATCTTTATCATAGTTGGGAGCTTGTTTTTGAGAGTTCCACTTATCTTGTGCCCATTAATCCCATGACCATCCAGGACTCCAAATAAGTGTGTTTGATTAATAATGTCCCCATCTTGAGACTTTTGCTGACTGAGGATCATATTTGGCCTTTGTATAAAAGAATCCTGGTTTGGTTTCAGAGGATGACTCAAGGATTTTCCTACCTTTGAGCATGCTCCAACAGATGTAATCAGACTCTTGAAGTTTTCATGCTCAAAATTGTTAATAATCTCCACTTCATCATAAGATTCTTCTTGTGGCTGCTTCTTCAAGTACTGATTCTTAAATTTTTTCAAGTTGTGAATTCCAAACATGTGAAGTTTCTTTGGAAATTCATAAGAGGATTTATTTTAATTTCATATTCTTGTTCTTCATTGTTCCTGGAAATAACGTGCTTACACCTCATCTTGACCCAAAATCTATGATCCTATTAGGTTTCTGGGAACTCTTTGTACTATTCTGATTCTTCTGAATTGACTGTGAAGGAGACAACTCCTTATTTAGCTTATATGGGGAATGATCTAACTTCTCACTAGGCTCTAAGGACTTCAATTTAGCTTCTCTCTTGGGAAAAGATATAATCTTTTCATCACTAATCCTAAACCGGTATTCATTTTCTTCTGGAAATTTAGTAGGCTGAAAGTCTGTCTGGACTTCGTCCTCCTTGTCCTTCAAAGGTGTAGGTAGTTTCTGAAATTTGAGGTCCTTTCGATTCCTTCGCATTTCCTTACTCTTGCATCTCACTTGTTTTGAAGAAAGGTTGAACCCTTTAGCCACACGGTCAGAGCTGTCCCCATGTCCCAAGTCTAATGACCTATTTGTGCTAATCTTATTAGTAAATCCAGGAGTGGAGGTATCTGGGATAATTCTTCTTTTGGTTGTTTTCAAAGGGATTCTTCCTATTGCTATATTATTCTTCTTCTGGATATCAGGGATGTCTTCTAATTTCCTTCTGTTCTTGCCAAAGCCATCCTGAGTGTTCGAAAACCTCCTCTTAGAGTTAGGGTCAACTTTAACAATTGTATTCTGACGCATTATGTCAACGTTCAAGGCCTTTGAATGATATTTTGGATTTTTAAAGAAAGAGGATTGTGTCATAACCCTTTGATTTGAGTACCCATTGGTTGTATTAGACAATTTCTTAGAGTTTCCAACCCTCCTATAATTAGCTTGATTGGTCATAACTCTTCTGTCAACTGAATTTTCTTTAGAAATGGTAGCTTCAGAAGTCTGAAACCCTTTAGCATCCTGCAATTTGTTGTCAATGTAAGTTTTTAGCACTGTTGGATCATTAAAGAAACTAGATGGGGTCGAGTTATGATCAATGAATTTAGGTATCTTCGAGTCACAGGTATTTTGGCTCATTAAATGATTTGTTCCACTCAGAGAGCTAAAATTACTCTGCATTGGTTTAAGCCCATCTATGTTATAATTCTCTTTGATAATATTAGAAGTTTTAGCTTCATTCATTCTCTTCATCTTTGATCTAAGCATCAACTGGCCACTATGATACCCACTAAGTTCCTTCTGAGGCTTTTTAGATAGGTTCTTTGAATCATTTGTCTCTGTGACTTGCTCTATCTCGTTCCTACTATTTAATATGTTCTTGTCTAAAATTTGGGTCTATTTACTAGTTATGGTTAAAATTACCGTAATTATCGCTGTTTTCAGCTCTTCTTTTGAACTTAAAATAATCTTTGGTTGATTGTTTCTCGATCTCGGCTCTTGGTGAAGAGACTTTTGTAGCTGGGTTACTATTCCATTGATGTTTCTTGTGACTATTATCTCTTGGTCCTTTTGGAACATTTATCCTAAAGTTTGTTACATTGTTAAAAATTTGCTAAATCTTCTCTATACTACCTGGCTCTTCATAAGAAAGATAAGGAAAATTATACATTAAAATGCAAAAGACAATTTAATTTAGAGTTTTAGGATACCTGTAAGTCATCCCGCGTGATTTATTTGCTCAAAGATGCCTTTGGTTGAAATTTTGTAAGGCAACCCATCTGATAATTCTCATTTTTCATATTAGGCTTCATCATTTTATTATGATTTTTCAGATTCGAGCTTGATTTATTTTTCTGAATTATCTGGTAAACAGCGTTTCTATCGTGATTCTGGCTCATAAAATGCCTAGACTGACCGAATTCCACACTCTTAAATGATGGATAGATCTTATAATCCTTATTCATCGGTGTATTTGCATTTTTCACATAACTATATTTTCCTCTATACCTTTCCATTAGGTTCCATTTTAACACCTAAAATCCCGCCTAGAATCAATTTTAACCTCATAGTCCCACTTTAGCCACAACCTCTTTGGAGTAACAGCTCTTCTCGCTCTAACTTACATATTCATATTCAAACCTCAATATTATATTAAACACCTGGGGTTTTGGGGTTTTGGGGTTTTGGGGTTTTGGGG